TCGATTTCAAGTTTTTATTATTTACCATCAATGATTTTAAATAGATGGAACTTTGATGATTGGTCTGCCTCTAGTATAAAGCAATTTAAAGTAAAAATGTGCAATTATGTATTTAATAATCATTCCATTTTTTGTTTGTTTAACATATGTGTGAATATTTTTCTTTTATAGTTACTTATCCTTCTTGTCTGTAACTTATCAATTAAATAAATAAAATTCAAAGAACTTTGATAGAGGGCAAGGCTGTAGAAAGACAGGTCGACCAGGGAGAAAATGGGTCACAGATGTCACGAAGTTGTTGCACTCTAGCTACAGTGATTGTGTAAGGATAGCAGAGGACAGATGGGTATGGCGAGCGTTAACAGCTGATTTTCTGGGTGGAGAAACTACAAACAGATGATCAAATGAGTGCATCATACTATCTCATAGTGTGTAGAACGATCTGGGCCTCTGTTGGGCTATAAATATGCATCCAAAATGTAGTTATAGTTAGTTAGAAAGACCTAGACTGCATGATTATATGTTTAGCCATAGAGAGCATATAGTGACGATTTTTAAAGTGCAATTTTCACAGATTGTATTGTAATAATAGAGTAGAGAAGAAATAATTTGTCTTGTCAATTGTGTTCTAAAGAACTGAACCAGCCCGTGTGGACTTAGACGAAAAAGACATATTTAAAGCTCTGGATACAACTGTGATAATCAACAGTGTAACAAACAATTGTACGTTAGTTTGACTTGTTTTAATATATTCTTTTAAAACATGTGAACTGTGTGCTTTGTTTATTGTTGTAATTTATTACCATCTAGTCACAGACACCTACCGTAAAGAATCTGGCCCATACATGCAAGTAAACCTGACAGCATCAATCTTAATATTCTAATCTCAGTTCTCAAATACCCTCCTCATGGCCCATGTTTCTGCTCATAAAGTTCAACTGGCCTAACTACTGCTCTGTAAATTTTATTTTTAATTTTCAGTGGGCTTTTTCTTATCAAGAATCAACCTTGAGACTTCCCTCCATTTATCCATTCAGCTATTATTTAAAAAGTTTTTTTTTGGTGTACAAAACTTGAAGGTAGCTTTTATATGTGGAAACATCTGTTAGTCGAGTTGTTCAAAACTTGAAAATAGCGTTGATAATTGGCCAATTGTTGGTTGAGATGTTGCAAAGGAAATATCTGCTGAAGCTTTTCGCCAGGCCCTAATCATAGCAGAACCGTCTGGAAAATGATCTATAGGAAATAGTACAGCTTATAAAATGAGTCAGATCAATGTAGGCCTGTAAGGCAATCACTGATTGGCAAGTCCTTAGCCAACCAGGAAATGTCACAGACCTACTGAAGGATGTGTACATTGTATAGGAATTCTTTTT